GGGCAGGGATAAAGACACAGACATAAAGAATGGACTTGTGGACATGGGGAGGGGTAAGGGTAAGCTGGGACGAAGTGAGAGAGTGGCATTGACATATACACACTACCAAATGTAAAATAGATAGCTAGTGGGAAGCAGCTGCATAGCACAGGGAGATCAGCTTGGTGTGTTTTTTTTTTTTCCCTTCAGGAATCCTGCAGTCACTTGAATCTCTGGGGTTGATAAGGGGCTGTTCTTCCCCACTTAGGGCTGCCTCTCTTCCTTTACTGGGATAGCTTAGATTTTTTTTCCTGTAGCTAGATTCCCTGCCAGAGGTGATGGCCCCAAAGTTTGATAACTACATCAACTATTAGATCATGAATGATTCTATAGGACTGTACTGGAAATCCCATGTAGAGCCTTTGTACTGCAGGTGTTCTCACTAGTTTATCCTGGACTATAGGGGCATGCAAAAGCACATTTGCATGGTGCTTCATGCTTAGAAGGTCCCTGTACTTAGTTTAGTGCTTTGCTGTTGCCATCTTGAAATCCTCATTAATTTTTGAACAGGGGCTCCTCATTTTCACTTTTTACTGAGTCCTATAAATTTTGTAGCTTATTCAGACTACAACAATGGTAATCATTCAGTTATTTTTCTGACTCTTACTAATTCACAATTAGCTGTTTGATGCAGTCCTGGAAATAAGTCTAAACCAAGGCCTGACCTGGAAGGGGAAAGCCTTCAACTGAGACCCATATGAGCAAATCTATTGCACCAGAGCATCAGGGACAGTACTAACCAGACTAGCAGGCTTTACCTCCAGAGTTATGGGGTTGGTGGGTGGGAAGGACACAGGGAAAGTCTGGCTGTTGTGTATTATTTCTGTCACTATCATAGAATTTCAGGCTTTTATTCCCCTCCCAGTAAAAGGCCTATTGTCCTACACTTACCCTTTCCTACATGTTCTCCATGTTCACCTGTACGTGCATAGCTTTTAGCAATGCCTGAGTAGGTGCCAGCCCACTAGAGGAACTAATTGTGCTAATAGACCTTCTGCCTCAATAGCACAGTCCCCAAATGCCCTACTATACAGCTCATTTTCCAATGAATGCTATGAGAGTAAAACCAGCATTCCCATTTATCAGGTGTTTCCCACTTATTTCCTCTTACCTACCTTCTTTAATATTATCTTCCATATCAATGAAGTGCATTAAACATGTCCTTATTTATATTGTATATAGTAGTATATAATTGAAGACCTTCAGTGAATACAATAAAATCAATTTATACTGAAAAATACTGAGACCAAATTCATTTTTCTCAAATATTGTTTATTTGCCTTCTTACACTTGCATTTTGACCACTCCAATAGACAGTCTTAACTTCTTGATGAAATTTGAATTTTTATAGAGAACTTTTGTGTCAGATAATATACAGCCAGGTATGAATATGAAAAAGGATCTTTATCACCTTTTGTGATAAAACAATGAATAAATAAAATTATTTAATTTAATACTGATTCACAATCTTTCAGACACCTCTTCATGTTTATATGTAGTCAAACTATCCCTTCTAAAACTCTTAAAATTATTTGTATGAGTTCATGATCACACATGATAAATTTAAAAATTGAGAAACATCCTTTACTTTTGTTGTTGATGTTTTTTAAAACCCTGTTCTAGGTCTGCTAGAATTTCTTTTCCTGCTTAAGACACAAATGGTGATACTCAAAATCAGACTGACAGTTATCACAGTGCCAACCACTAACACCACCAAAGTAGAAATGCTGAGTCCGGACTTAGGGGGATTTTTATCAGGATTAGGATCTGGATGAATGTCATCAGGTATGTCATCTGCTTGAGGCACAAACAAAGCTGCTTGTGCAATGTTAGATACCCTTGATGTCAAATTGCTTTTATCCACACTTTGAATGGCAATGAATATGTGGGTTGCATTTTCTTCTGAGATATTTCCTGGTTTGAATGTAAAGTTTTCCTTGGAGTTGACCTCTTTTGGTAACAGATCAGTAGTGTTTACTTGCAGCGCATCATCAAAATTATCCCTTAGATCCAGAATACTTCCGCTTATTCTTATGATATACTTTTGAACTAAGAAAAAAAAAGTTACATATAGTTTAGAAACTAGAGCATACCATATTAAATTTCTTTTTATTCATTCTCCTCAAAGATGTCATTTAGTCATGCCAAGTTTATACTCATATCCAAAGCCTTATTTATTTTTCCATAAAAGCTGAATTCTGATTTTTAAACTCTGCCAAATGCTACCTTCTTTATGAAAAGTGATAACAGGTTAAAATGTGTCACATTTGATGATTCAAAACATGAGACTATAAAATTAATACTTTGCTGAGCGATTAATTATTAATTGTTTTCCTCTCACACAACCTTACACCCTTGCTTTTGCAACAAGCAACTTTCACTTAATCAACACTGCATGACACTTCGTCCTTACCCTTTCCAACATCAAAATCATCTCCTGGTGCTGTCCATGTTAGACTGATCTCATCCTCATCTGATGTGGCCTTCAGGTCTGTGATTCGACTTGGTGGGAAGACGTCAGGCAAGGAGGGAAGATTTGGAACGTTTGAAACCACAAATGCACCTCCAGATGCTGTTCTGGTGAAACTCTCCAAGTTTGTCTGAGTGTTCTCATCAATTTCAGGTCTTGGCGGATTCCCTTTAATGTTCCCTGCATTAAAAATTCCTGGTATTTAATGGGCAAATCTGCACTAATATTTTCAGAACTCAACAAATTGTATTTCCTATCCCACATCTTTCCCTTTTTTTCCCCATATACACAGTTACATTTTACTAATTTTGGTGACAAAGTCATAAGCATGCAGTTGGTGGAAGAATTCTTTCATTAGTATCCTGACCAGAGTATTGTAGGGTAGAACTGGATAAATAAATGGCTTTGGCATTAAGGCTGCCAAATATGGGAATATTGTTATATAATTCAACATATGCCTTAAAAAAAAAAGGAAATTCTTTATTTCTCAAATTATCTTCAAGATTGGAATAAACCTGGGGAAATTACTACTGGTTCCCTCCCAACCACTTGTGCCAGGTTCCTTACTTCCTCCCTGTTGCAAGTGTTAGGGAATAATACTTCGAGTTATATTCCAATTGCCAACAGAAAGCCCCTAAAAGTCACAAGCGACAAAACAAAGGAAAGCTAACAAAAATGCATTTTTAATCCTTATCATCACCTTCCTCTACACATTTTTCCTTTTGACTCAGTAAAAACTTTCCAAATAAATGTTTACTCACATATCTTTTAACAGTGTATGTAATCGGAAGGATAAATTCTACCACTGGTCTGTACTTAGGTACATAACCTATTAGCCTGTTTGCTTCATCCTGAACTGAAAATGTGGCATATTATTGTTGATATAGGTACGATGCTCCAAACTAATATAGTAATGGGTGACATTTGTCAAGATGCCAGACACTGTACCAAACCTTACGTTAATTTGGAGGCACACTGTAGTATGACTGAGAACTTCATTTCAGAAATGGGAAAAGCTATACTCTGAAGTTGTAAAATATTTGCAGCCTTAATCATATCAACTCACAATCATTCAAGCCGTCACTGGGTTTCAGTGACGGCTTGAATAATATTATGAGGTACTCACCATCCACTACCCAGCCTGGTATATATGCAGCTCTATTCAGTGGATACCGTAAGTTTCGCATGACAGCATTTTCTCCTCCATGAGCCCGTACTTTCAAGCTATATCTGCCATTTTCTTTATAAGTTGTAAAATATCTGGAGTAGACTCCATCATTCTTAAAAGAATCAGCACCTTATTATAGAAGTGAAAGAATAAATTACTATTGTAAAGAAAAAGAGAAATTTATGCATTTTCTAAACCAAGCATATGGCCTTTATAAGCATATTGCCTTGGTTGGGCTCCCTATTCTGTGATTGACCCCTTGGGGAATATTTCCATTTTGCTCTGCCAACTAGTATCATGTTGAATTGATATCCTTGTGTTACTTTGTGTGTGTGTGTGTGTGTGTGTATACACACGAGGATCCCCACTAAAGAAAAATTGTCTTTGCATAAGATTTAATTATCACTCCAGTCACCTCCAAATTACCTATTTTGACTTATCTTCAAACACTCCTTTTTATTTTTATTTTATTTTTTATGTCAAGATTTCCTTAGCTAATTTATTAATTTTAAAAGATTTTTTTTACATCTTTATTGGAGTATAATTGCTTTACAATGTTGTGTTAGTTTCCGTTTTATAAAAAAGTGAATCAGCTATATGAATACGTATATCCCCATATCCCTTCCCTCTTGTGCCTCCCTCCCACCCTCCCTATCCCACCCCTCTAGGTGGTCACAAAGCACCGAGTTGATCTCCCTGTGCTATGCAACTGCTTCCCACTAGCTATCTATTTTACATTTGGTAGTGTATTTATGTCCATGCTACTCTCTCACTTTATCCCAGCTTACCCTTCCCCCTGCCTGTACCCTCAAGTCCATTATCTACATCTGCATCTTTATTCCTGTCCTGCCCCTAGGTTTTTCAGAACCATTTTTTTCCTTTAGATTCCATATATATATGTGTTAGCATACGGTATTTGTTTTTCTCTTTCATACTTCACTCTGTATGACAGACTCTAGGTCCATCCACCTCACTACAAATAACCCAATTTTGTTTTTTATGGCTGAGTAATATTCCATTGTATATATGTGCCACATCTTCTTTATCCATTCATCTGTCGATGGACACTTAGGTTGCTTCCATGTCCTGGCTATTGTAAATAGTGCTGCAAAGAATGTTGGGGTGCATGTGTCCTTTTGAATTATGGTTTTCTCAGGGTATATGCCCAGTAGTGGGATTGCTGGGTCATGTGGTAGTTCTATTTTTAGTTTTTTAAGGAACCCCCATACTGTTCTCCATAGTGGCTGTATCAATTTACATTCCCACCAACAGTGCAAGAGGGTTCTCTTTTCTCCACACTCTCTCCAGCATTTATTGTTTGTAGATTTTTGTGTGTGTGTGTGTGATATGCGGGCCTCTCACTGCTGTGGCCTCTCCTGTTGCAGAGCACAGGCTCCAGACGCGCAGGCCCAGCGGCCACGGACCATGAGCCCAGCTGCCCCACGGCACGTGGGATCCTCCCGGACCGGGGCACGAACCTGCGGCTCCTGCATCGGCAGGCGGACTCTCAACCACTGCGCCACCTGGGAAGTCCTGTTTGTAGATTTTTTGATGGCCATTGTGACCAGTGTGAGGTGATACCTCATTGTGGTTTTGATTTGCATTTCTCTAACAATTAGTGATGTTGAGTATCCTTTCATGTGTTTGTTGGCAATCTGTATATCTTCTTTGGAGAAATGTCTATTTAGGTCTTCAACCCATTTTTGGATTGGGTTGTTTGGTTTTTTTGATATTGAGTTGCATGAGCTGCTTGTATATTTTGGAGATTAATCCTTTGTCAGTTGCTTCGTTTGCAAATATTTTCTCCCATTCTGAGGGTTAGCTTTTCATCTTGTTTATGGTTTCCTTTGCTGTGCAAAAGCTTTTAAGTTTCAGTAGATCTCATTTGTTTATTTTTGTTTTTATTTCCATTACTCTAGGAGGTGGGTCAAAAAGGATCTTGTTGTGACTTATGTCATAGAGTGTTCTGCCTATGTTTTCCTCTAAGAGTTTTATAGTGTCTGGCCTTACATTTAGGTCTTTAGTACATTTTGAGTTTATTTTTGTATATGGTGTTAGGAAGTATTCTAATTTCATTCTTTATCATGTAGTTGTCCAGCTTTCCTAGCACCACTTATTGAAGAGGCTGTCCTTTCTCCATTGTATATTCTTGCCTTTGTCAAAGATAAGGTGACCATATGTGCATGGGTTTATCTCTAGGCTCTCCTTTTTATTTTTAATCCTTACCTCTTACACTATGATCCATTAACTTTCTGGTCTAACAGTGGAAAATCCATCTATTATTAGAACAAACATTTGGGGGAGCTCAGGAATACTGTATCATAAGGATATTTCTTCATATCACCGGTACTAGAGTTATTTGTTAAATTGCAAACACATTTCTCAGGGAGGTTATGACTCTAGGAGAGAGGTTCTTAAAATGAGGTCCTTGGACCAACAGCATCTGCATTTCTCTGGATCATATTAGGAATGCAAATTTCTTAATTTGCACTCCTAGGGAAGGTTCCAACATTCGTATTCTGTTTTAACAAGCCCTTCAGGTGATTCCCTTTCATGCTGAAGTTTGAGAACCCCTGCTCTAAGTCATTGTTAATCACCAATACCTTCTTAGGTAAAGGCGTCCCAAATTAGTTAAGTAGTCATTGGGTTTCATCTGAGAAATGAAACAAGGTACACGAGTTTTAATGTAGCATGGAAGGGGTTGGGGAAAAGGAAAGAGTCACCGGACAGTTTAGGAAAATATTGTCATATTAGATGAAGACACTGAGGTGAACCAAGGAACAATTTTGCCTCCTAGATTTTTCACAGGGCCAACTCTAGTTGATGGTAGGATTATAAATTGACTGACTTAATCACACTGAAAAGAAGTTGATAGAAAATTCTGACAATTTAGAAGTTTACTGATGCAGTAATTTCTTTACTAAATGATCTGTCAAAAGAAGTTTCAGTTCCCAGAATAATTCAGAGTCTGTGAAAAAGGTCTTTAAGTACCACTCACCCGCATAGACCAAGGAGATAGAGCATGACCAACACTCTATTTTGTTTTCTCCCAGTCAGATCTGGTATCTGATGATGCTCCTGTGATGTTCCCTCCTCTGTTATGGTAGATCTACCTTCCCTTGTGCCTCAGTTCCCAAGAGTATATGTGAACTTTTATCTAGCTGTTGGGAATTACTCTTACCTGTCACCCTCTCCTTGCCAAGGGCCCAAATTCTACTTAATTTCATACTACTGCTTGAGTTTCACTGTCTCTCACCAGCCTTTCTTGATTATATGCCCCTAAGAAACACTTATTAAGAATTCTTGATTCAGTCCTCAGTCTCTCCAATGAGACTTTCCTATCTGTTGGTAAACATTGGTTGTCTAGATGACAAACAATAATGACAGTAAATAAAATTCATTGAGTGTTTACCATGTGTAAGACACTTGCAAATCACTCTGTAGATGTTACCTGGAAAGAATTTCATGCTGGTCCAGCTGTTCATCCAAAATCTGTATCAATTCTTCTATCCCTCTGCCCCACACTGCTGCAGGGACATAACATATCCTGAATTATGAAAATATAGGCTTGTTCAGAGAAACCTGTGAATTACCTGCACCATTATCCAAAAGTTCCAAAACTTCTGTTTTCCCAGTATTTGATTCAATGAAAGCAGTCACATTGGCTCCAAGAATGGGTATATACCCCTGTAGAATTTCTGCATAAACAATCATTGGGCTGGGGAAGCTGTTTGTGTCTTTATTCATTTTAGCATTCACCGTGATTGGAGGCACAGAAGAATTTGCCGCTCGAGAATTTACTGTTATAGTTAATGTCTCTGCGTTTGCTTTTGCTTGAAGACTGTAAGACCAAACACCCACCTAAAAATTCAATGGAAATGGAGTAAGTGCCCAAGAGCAAGTTGTTTTCTGTTTCCATTATCTAACTCTAAAATTGTATAAGTGTGTTGCAGAATAAACAGGGTTTTGAGAATTTGGGGGGTTTTGAGGGTAAAATGATGAGGGTCGAGGCAGTTTGGATAGGACATCCTGACTATTGTAATGCCTGATGTCCAAAATTTATGAAATCTCGGTGAAAATAAGCTTTGGAAAGTTTGCCTTGACCTTATCCTTTGATCTCAAAGTCCACAGATTCTATGATCTGGTAGTACTAAGAAATGGCTCTGTAGCTATCTACACAGCAAGCTGCACAGACTCTTACTACATTGCCTCCTCAAAGTTATTCTTAGCCTACCTAATTTTTTCCCTTCTCTTCCTTCCTCCTAATGTGTAAGTTCTTTCTTTTTCCTATCACCAAAAGTTTCAGGACCATACAGGCATAGAAAGTGCATTCTATTTTATCTTAATTTTGAAATGATACAAGTATTGGCACCCATATTTATGATATTAAACAATGTATTTTCACCTGTAGAATAAATTTGCGAGGAAGTCCAAAAGTTAATTGTTTACCTTTGTAGTTCCTGGAATACTGAGATAGGCCATTTTGGAAGCTTCATCCACTGTGAAATTTCCCACTGAGTTTCCAGTGGGATCCAAGAGAGAAATAACGGGAAGCTGATGGTTCCATGTGATGAGAAAGAATGTGTCCTTTCCCACAGTGCTATCAATTATTACAGTGCCATTCATCCAGTCAATACTGTTGAGTTTTAATCCCTTACTTTCAAGCTGTTTAAATATATCAAAAAATTAATGACTGGAGAAGAGGGTAATTTTATGCTTTTTTACATATTTTAAAATTTCTGCCCTGAGAACAAACTTAAGTATGGCATACCACCTTAGGCTTGTGATCTCTCTGAAAGCTGATTGGGATGTGACTGTTGTCAGTCAGAAAGTGTGGAAATACAGGGACTGAGGACAGCACAGGGTATAATAAAAGCATTAGAGCAGGAGAATGGGGTTTACAGCTGGAGATATGGCCCTGTTATTATTTTCCCAGTTGTCTTGGCAAACACCCACCCTAGGATTTAGCATTAAAGGGTACACCTACCTCTGAGAAGATTAGCTGTGTGTGTGTGTGTGTGTGTGTGTGTGTGTGTGTGTGTTGCCCTCAGTTTACCATTTTCTTGATAACCTAAAATAAAATAATGCTGGTGGCTAGAGTGTTTGAGTAGAGGAGACACAGTAAGTGGTGGAGTTCAAGAGAGAAAATCAGAACTAGCAAATAATGAGACAAACAGGGATATTTTTCTGATGTGAAATCTTGAAATAATTTTTCACACACTATAGAGCATTAACATTGGACAGTAATCATGCCCAACAAGAGTGGAAAGAGGGCAAACTGATGTCTATGAAGTATGAAATCCTGAGGAGAGAAGAAGTGAAAGATAGGACCTTTCTCTAAGAGGGGCTTAAAGGAAAGTTTTTCAAGTCTTTGTGGACAACTCTCAGTCAAGGAGAGCCAACTTTATCCACTGACCAAGAAGGTACTTCCTTCAGATATGTCATTTCAGAGATGATGGGAAATCTCACTTCTACTCCATCACAGTCCTAAACCGCAGATACCTTCACACCAACGCTGATAGAAGGATATGAATTCTACCATTGAAACACGATGGCCATGACAAATATCTTAGTCCTATGTTAAATGGACATGTCTTTGAGTGGATAAAATATTATTGAGTTAAATTTGAATGTAAATAACTTTTTAAGCCTCCCCATCAGGAAAATCTAGGAAAGTTATTAGACCTTGCCTACATAATAGTATTATGGCAAAATAACTAATTAAAGAGAGGGATGCAACCTTTTCTCTGTATTCCAGCTCCACCGTCCAAATCCAAGTTTCCATCCACTCAGATAACATACCTCTACCTTGTTACTATTTTCTCCCAAGATTTACCCATCATGTATGTCAATCCAGATTAACCATTCAAAAATTTGTTTTCTTTTTGTTATTTCTCTATTTAAGAACCTATAGGCATTTCAAATGAGGGAACAAAACTTTACTTCTCCCCCTTTCATACTGTTTAAAAAAGTCCATCCCCCAAACTTTGAGCACCTCCTGCATGCAAATGTCTCATTTGCAGCTGATTTCCCAATTTCTGCTCTTATATTTTAAAGTTATTTTGGTATATTCCACTCTGATATACCATCATCCACACAGAACAAGCATAAAATGATATCCTCAAAATTAGTTCTCTCACCTTGTCAATTTTAGACAATTGTGTCATCATTCTCTGTCAACAAGACTGAAACCCTCAGAAATGAGCTTTATTCTCCTTCAGTTTATTCTTTGTACACTGCCAAGCTAGATATCAGACCTGTTTTTAATTTGGGTTCAGGATGAACTGCAAACCAGATCTCCAAACCAATCTGCAATATTATCTTAACCTTACATCCTATACTTCTGTCCTCATTGTTGGACAATAGAGGAAAATAGGTTTAGATGAATATGTCAAGTTTTAAAGTAGGCAATGAGGTGAATTGGAAGATGGTAGATGGATGACTTGGTATAGAGTGACATGATATAGACCTAGTGGGAATGGATGTGGAGAGAAACAGAATTTTGTAAATTATATTTTGAAGTAAACAGGCTCTGTTAACATTTTTCATGGGGCATGAACAAAGAAGAATCAATTTACTCCAAGTTTTTAAATGTAAGTAACAGAAAATGGTGGTGTTATTGAAACACAGAAGAGAAACAGAGTTGAGGCAAACAAAGAGAAGAGAGGTGAATAACATAAAAAGACAGTGAAAAAAAGTACTTTAAGAGGTAAGAGAAGCCCTAGACTTGTAGATACGCTCTGATTATTCACTCTCTTTCTCCTGACAAATTTATTTCCAAGATATAATCATTCCATTTCCAAACCACATTCTTGAGTTCATTTATCTAAATTAAATATATTTCATAGCAGTGAAGGTTGGGTAAATCTTGGAAGCATGAGGGTTTTTTGTTTGTTTGTTTGTTTTTTTGCGGTACGCGGGCCTCTCACTGTTGTGGCCTCCCCGTTGTGGAGCACAGGCTCTGGACGCGCAGGCCTAGCGGCCATGGCTCATGGGCCCAGCCGCTCCGCGGCATGTGGGGTCTTCCCAGACTGGGGCACGAACCCGTGTCCCCTGCATCAGCAGGCGGACTCTCAACCACTGCGCCACCAGGGAAGCCCATGAGGTTTTTTTAATGCATTCATAGAAAAACGGATGCTATACTATTAGACAAAGGCTATTTTTGGTGGAAAATTTAACAGCATTAGGTTTTGATGTTATCCCTTAACCAAACCCCATGGGAAAAGGAAAAGAAATACGCCTGCTATTTCAATACTTCAACAATTAATTTGGTCATATCTAAAGGATAATTTCTATTTCAGATTGATTTTTTTTAATTAAAATTTTATTTGAGAAAGATATAGAACTCAAAACTTATAACAACCAAATTATTTGTCTTGGTTATGGCTAAATGCAGACATAAAAACCCAAGGACTGGGAACTCTGACCTGAAGAGACTGCTGGGAGGCATCGGTGTTTCCTGATGCAAGGGCCGCGAAAGCATCAATGAGGCCATTGTTCTGGGCTTCATCTGAAGCATAAAAATGTTCTCCTCCTAAGGTGTAAATACATTAACTCGGTTGCTTTCCAGAAAATAAATATTTTAGTGCTTAATTAGATATCGGGTAAACAAAGCCATAGTTTCAGTTTGTATTGTTAAAATAGACCAAAATCAGATAGGTGTAATGCTTAACTCTGAAATGTTAACTTAAAAATGTCATAACTGGGAGGTAAGCTACCTTTAAACCCCACTTATAGAAATCTTCCTGGCTTAAATGCATGAAATAATCAAAGAATATGAAAAATGTTACAGTTTCATGTACTAAAGCTCACAGAGTTTACATAACCTTTTAGGAGAATTATTCACTTTAACTGTCGTTTAAGATACAGTTCTAACAATGTAAGCTTTCAAGTTTTCCAGCCAGAGTGGATCAGAATCAGAAAATTAGAAAAGTTAAAGAGCTTTCATATTGAGATATTCTAACAATAGTTGGCAATGAGGAGATAAAAACATGGTAAACAATAGAGACAAGTCCAAAAAAGGCACTACTTTGGGGGGAATACTTGGGACAGAAATATTTTACAATGGCTGTAAAAGTACTTTGAAATGATGGGAGTTTGTACAATTAAGCATTAAAGAGCAAGTATATGTTTGGTAGCATTAGAGGTCAATTCAATGCAATAATTGATAAATAATAATTGATAAATTCTGTTCTCTACTATGTTTAAGAAGACACTGAAAACATGTAGTCCATTTTCATTATATGTCTCTGTATCTAAGATAATAGCTATTGTATATTTAATCAGAAACCTTGTTATTATATTTATACAGCCTGAGCTATTCCTTAACCTCCAGTCTAGACTCTGGTCTCATGTATTTCCCACTGTCCCTCAATGTGGCTTGCATTGTCATCCCAACATGATTTTTTTTCCCTCATCACTTTTTCTTCCAGAGAAAGCAAACAACTTGATAAATGTCCAGCTCCAATGTCACCTTGTCTCTCATGCCTTCTTTCCCTGACTCTGTTCAACCCTGGGAGAATCAATGGCTCCCTCTGCTCACATGGTGCTTGACTCCTATGTATGTCTCCTGTTATGGAAGAATGTTATCTGATTTTGCTATCTGATTACTAGTTTTATTTGTCTCTCCAGCCAGCATGACTGCGAGCACCTTGAGATCAGGTCTGGTTTAACTCTGGTCCCAGGCTCCTAGCACAGCACCTGCACAGCAGGAGCTTAAGAGAAGTTGTCGAATTGTCAGCCTCTACATTTATGCATTGTTATCAAAGGACTAGAATGTATGTCATATTTTACCTGTTACATTGCTCATCTCTATGACTGCTTTATCGGCATTTGGTCCCAGAGCAATAAAATGAATTATGGCCCCACTTTGCTTCACTTCATCAATACAGGTGCTTGCAGAGTTATCCTCCCCATCAGTCAGCAGCACTATTTCAGATCCATCTATTTGGGAGTAAGTGTTTCCAATTACCTACAAATATAATCAGAGCATTATTACAGGTGTTCCTAGATCAAATGGACATAAAAAATAAAGTGTGCAGAAAAGAGGAGATAGCTTCTTTTTTAAAATCATAGGATCTGCAGTCAACAACTGCTAGGGGAACTTAAACATGACTTTTTATTTTCTGTCCACCTGCTGTAGGGAATGTTTGCTCAGGTGAAGTTTGTGTGGGAGCAGGGGTGTGGAAAATCTTACTTGGGTTAAATGACTATGACATCTCAGTTTGGGGAACTCAGGACAACTAGACACCAAAAATATAATGGCAGAATGTGGCATTAAATATTTTTCTGTTTCCTTTGACCAGCGTGTCCTCTGACAGGCCTTCGGTGTATAAAGTCTGTTGTATATGCAGCTAGATGCATTAAGAGTTTACCTCAACATTTTTTAAAAAGTTAATGACTCCAAATTAGGGAACCCTCAGTATGCTTATAAAGAAAAGATATGGAAAGTTCTAAGCAGGTCAAGGTTAGAGATCTTGTTATATAATTTTGATTTTACCTCTCATAGTCACAAGCACAAAACTAAGCATATTGGTGGTGTAAGAGAATACATGACTTATTGAGATTGTGTTCTATTTGTGGCTTGAACCAACTGAGAGTTTTGAATCTAGACACCTGTAAGAAAGGATAAAGAGAATTTATCCCAGGATAGCAACCGTATTTCATCTTTGACAGCTTTATTGGTAATGGCTTCTTGACACACCATTTTGAGAAATTGAGTCTAGTCCAAGAGGGAAAAAATGACAGGTTATCGGTGGCTTTCATGAACTTGCAGTGGAGGTGTGTGTAGATTTACAAAGGAGGGTTTAGAATGTAGAAATTCTTAATAATGCTGGTGTCAGGGGACAAAGTGACCAGTCTCATTTCAAATTTTGCATGTTTTGAGGCAAAGAATGACTATTATGTACGTTTTATAATATATGTGAAATATAGTGTGATATGCAGGAACCAAACTAAAATATAGGAAATGCGTTGATACATTATAGCACTTATACAGCATCCCCACCACATTCCCCCTACACATTCGAGAACAAATGAAGATTCAGACATTAAGCATAGTTCTCTGTCCTTCACATCTCCCTTTCTTGTATTAATTTATTCACTGTACTGGTTCCTGGGGATTCAGCAG